TTGCAGTTCCTCGGTTACGATTTTAAAGTCCTGCGATCTGAACACCATAAAATCTAATCTGCGATCCCCCGAAATGTGCAACTTTATGAAAGCTGCCGTCACGCTGACAGTCTGGTCCACACCCTCAACAGCACACGAGCGTTTCTCTGCTCCGGCGTACTCGCGAGTCGTGATTGTGCTCTTCATCTAATAAGAAACTCGCTCTGCGTTACGACGTTTTCAGGCGACACGTTCACCCTGAAAGAATCTTGATTAATTTGACTACAGCCACAAATCAAGGTTGGGGTTTGCCATCTTCAAAACTCACAAAATTTGCTACGACAGTTGAAACAAGATATTTACCAAAACCAAATAAAAAGACACAAACACGATATTTTCTTTTCTCACTGTCTTAAGCTAAATCAGAGCAAACCTCTCTTGTTTTAGGTCAGTTAGAATTAGCCAAATGATTTTCTTTTTCTACATCAGTAAGTCATACTGCTTAAAGACAGTTATCCCACATAATAATAATGACCAAATGGATGTAGGCTTTTGAATTCAAGGAAAGTTATAAAAACAAATATGTAAAAAAGAAAAAATCTCGCTAAGTTTTATGGCATTTAGGAAATAGAAATAATTTAGTTAGTTCTAACTAAGATAAAACAAAGGAACTTCAGACATTGAGATAAATGTGTTTGTGTCATTTTATTCAGTGTATGCAAATATCTGGTTGAACTGTTTTTCTAGGTTGTGTCAGTTTATCTTGCTCCAGCCAAATTTTTCATTTAGGACGGCATATTTCATGAAATTCAGTCATCAAAAACCAACAGAAGAAGCAATAAATTAGAAGAAGCAATAAATAAATGAATTAAAACAAACTCAACAACTTATCGTTTCCTTTCTCTTTCTCCCAAAAACTGGATGATGAAAGTCTTCAGTCTGGTTGTTTGGTCTCAACTAGACGTTTTTGTGAAGGACAATTTTGTTGACAGAAACTTCGTTATTCATTTTTCTTATTTTTGTCTCTTTATTTTGGATAAATAACGTGTCAGTCCCAGTGATGAATGTTCATTAGAATTTAAAGTCTGCTGATTTTTGAGAACGTGTTCTTGCATTATTACGCAGTTACGGTTATATTGGTTAAAAATGGCCACAAAACAGCATTATTATCGTTTGTCGCGATAACTTCTGGGACAATTTATCTTCCATCAAATGGCAAGCCTAGTCCAGATATAAATAAATCCCAATCGTTTTTTGTTTTTTTCCCCACTATTTTTGCACACAAAATTACTGTTTTTGGGGGTGTGGAGAGGAAACATGATCATGACCTTGAAGAAGAGGTCTAGACTCTAGAAGACGCAGGTGAAGGCCTCAACATTCGCCTAGATTAATAACAGAGCACACTTTACTTCTTCAGGGTTTGCACTGAAATGCCGCATATCTTCTAGAAGTCCGAGTGTCGTCTCGTCTGCCGTCTTTTGTTGGGGCAGCAGCTCCAGAACCAATGGACTTAAAAAGGCTCGACAACCTAATAAATAAAGCTGGTTCTGTCCCAGGCCCTGCTGTGGAACTCTTTGGACATATAATCTTGGATAGAGAAGGATTATTCATAAAATCAAGACAAGGATGAACAGTCCCGTACAATACGAGTTACATCAACATTTAATTAATTTGCCTCTGGGATTAAAATAGTATTTTTCGATTGAATTGAGTGTGACTCAAACAAACGGCATCTTACAGTTTGAGTAGCTCAGGATAATGCTTTGTCAAATGCAATGCTGAAGCTAATCGCTATACTAACAGAAGGGTAAGGGCTTTGACACATCCAGGCCAGAACCTTTGTACTGGCATGTTTCCGGTGCGCCGCTAAATCTGATACGCACAAGCAAGATCCGAGGACAACAGCAAAGGACGACACTGGAGGTTAATTTTTGCCACAGAAAATAATTTCAAACCTTTGTTATCAATTCTAAATCATGAAAGAGTTGTTCAAATTGAAGTACATTAATGCGTAACAAATGAGGCAAAGCGTAATAAGGAAATAAATGAGTGCTGAACTTTAAATGGACTGAACAGGAAGGGATTTTGCTTCAATGCGGTAGTTACTAAAGCATCTTTGTATGCTCCATATAGCTTAGCAGCGAGAAAAGTGTATTATTTTTGTGAAGTTCTAGCCAGCATAAACGGATTGCTGTGAGCCATTAGCATCCCGTGACGTCACTCTCTAACGAAGCGAACCCTTGCATTGCCACCAAAACTAAACACGGAAATATTCACGTCGTTGCAGGATTTAAATAGACCCAGTAACTGACGCTGTTGCCTAGAGACGGACACAGCGCAGCCGCAGTGAGCTGCTGTCAACCCGCAACTTTTTAAAATGTCCACCGGATGGATGGATGGATGGATGGATGGATATGATGGATGGATGGATGGATGGATGGATGGATGGATGGATGGATGGATGGATGGATGGATGGATGGATGGATGGATGGATGGATGGATGGATGGGATGGATGATGGATGGATGGATGGATGATGGATGGATGGATGGATGGGATGGATGATGGATGGATGGATGGATGTGGATGGATGGATGGATATATAGATAGATAGATAGATAGATAGATAGATGATAGATAGATAGATAGATAGATAGATAGATAGATAGATAGATAGATAGATAGATAGATAGATATAGATAGATAGATAGATAGATAGATAGATAGATAGATATAGATAGATAGATAGATAGATAGATAGATAGATAGATAGATAGATAGATAGATAGATAGATAGATAGATAGATAGATAGATAGATACCAGACTGAATGGGTCAGGACCTAAAGAACCAGACTTCAGTCTCTTCATCTCTTTGTCATTTCCTGAGACCAAGACATAATATGAATGAATATTTAAAGAACAAATTATAAACATAGATTAATAGTAAGTAAATAAATATTGTGAAGGGAACATTTAAAACGTTTATTAGGATTGTGTAGGAAAAATGTTGATATCTTTTATAAATAGTGTTTTGTGGTCAATATAATTTCATTATTTTATCAATGTGGGTTGCCAGTTTGGATCAGGCTTCCTATCAAGCTGTAAGAATGACAGAAAACATGCTAACAACATGCTTCAGACCTGCAGCCCAGAGGCGGTTCCAGATGGGGGCCAACAGAAGCTCTTTGCCTCACTAGTACAAGTTTTACATGGGGCCCCTGGGGGGATGAGCACATCCACCTCAAAAATACGTAGCTGCGCCCCTGCTGGCAGCAGCTGCGAGCTGAAACTTAAATAACGTATATACATTATATTAATTAATTAACGTATATAGTCTGGTGTAGCGTTTCTCAGCGGGCGTTCAGAGAACAGCAGGGGGCGCTGGCGCTGCATGGGCTCTTTGCACGTCAGCTTCCAAAGCGGCTCGATCGTTTCCGGTCTATTGAAAATGGCGTTTTACACTGGGAATTTGCAGGGTTTGTCCAAGGTAACAACTAATAATGAACATCGATCCGAAGCCCCAACCAGTTAGCCGGAGAAAGGTTTTAAGATGTTCTGTCGCCTTGTTATACATTCACAGATACGAAGGTGAGTTTTACTGTCTTTAAACGTTGTGGCTAACATTAGCTTTAGCTTATCATAGAAGTTTATATTCTCTGACATTTTCCTTGTAAAAACATGCTACTTAAGTATTAAAACATTTTCCATCCATTCTGTTGGACAATGTTTTTACCTTATTTTCAAGCGTATCGTGTGTTTGCTGTCGTTAGCGTCAGAGGCCAAATAACGGGGAGATTAGGGTTCAGGCTGTTTGTTTACGAAGTATAAGGAAGCACAACAACCCCAGAGCTTATTGCAGAGCAGCTCTGGTGTTCAGGTTGTTGCTTTTAGATAAATATGACCGTGTTGCTTCAGGTCTCTGTTATTTCGTTTTATTAGTTTTGCATGCTTCTTGGGAAGCAGGGCGGTGTTTACAGCGGACCAGATGCTCCGCTGTCTGGCTCTGCTCTCTAGTTCCCATAAACTCCGTCAGGCTGAATACACAAGTGTTTCCGTGGAAACAGCTGATCACCATCGTCTTAAATCAGGATTGTTTGGAAATCCATAAAAACTTAAAAGCCCTTTATATTAGGAATACAAAAAATGCATAGTATTGTTTATTTGACTTTGTCTTTTCTAGCTGTCATAGTAACTGAAAGCGGGAAAAAAGCTGCGTTTGAGCAGCGGTTGTGACGCCAGTGCAGCAGGTGCACAGAGCCCTTTCCTTTGGGGCGTTGCAGTTATATCCATGTTTTAATATTGCAGATCTCAGTCTTTATGTAAATAGATCAAAGTTTAACTGGCATTGTTGTACATCATTTATCTGGTAATTTTGTGCAATATTTAACCACCAACATCAGAAAACGGCTCAGAACAAGATTAGCTTTTTCCACTCTGGCTGCTGATAGGCCTGCAGATTTTACCTTGAAGGTCCATTACATCTAGATGCATCATCATTGCATCATCTGTTGCTCTGAGTAACGTGCTGTTAGTCAGAGCAATCATCAAATAGGTTGAAATATTTCATAAAGTATATAAAGTTTGTTACATTTCAAACCATGGCTCCCACAGTGACAATTAAATTATTGGCCAATATAAAAGAAAATTCGTTTTGTTCTCTCTTGGATCTTTATAGAGCTGAGAGAAACCAAACTATTTATAGATTTATATGCAGAGAGAATATTTATTTTTACATATTCAAACATCAGCAGCATCTCAGCTTTAAGCCCCATTTTATAGAATCCAGTAATAACTCTATCACCAACTGGCCCAACCAGACCCAAATACATTCATCTTTATTATTTGCTATTTTAAAGCACAAAGCAGCGTCTGTCCAAAGGGCTGAAGAGAGACATGATGGGAGCTGAAGACAGGAGACATTTGTCTCACTTTGTGTGTTTTTCTTCCAGATATCATCAATCTGCTGTTCATCGCGACTGTGCTGTTGGTTGTTTTTATTACTGATGGTAATGATATTTATGTACTTCAGACGTAAAACGGTCAGTTAAAAACAATACTTTTATTAGTGTTTATTGTTTGTTTGTTTGTTGTTTTACATTATAATCATGACTGATGTGTTTTTGACAGCCTGCTAAGCCTGACTGGTAAGAACCGATCAGATCAAATGTTACGTTTTCTCTCTCGTTGAGTCACGTTTGTTTTTGACTTTCTTTAAATTTCCGTTCAGTCATCACTGCAAGCAAACCCAGCAGGAGGCACCAACTTATTTTCTGTTCCCACTCAGCTCCGACGACGGCGTCCCGGAGGTCACCGTGTCCTGTCCTGGCACCCAGGGGCTGGTGTATCACGGACAAGGCCCCAGGGACCAAATGGTGACGGCTCCAGCATGAGGACCAGCTCCATGTTTCACTGCCACCATCTGAGGAAAACTGTGATCTGATGTTTTATGTTGCTTCTTCATCGCTGAGCTTCTTCTCTGTGTTGATTGTGGCCAAACAAATCCTCTATGTGCTGCTGCAGCCAGTCAAATGTTTGCCTGAACTCGCCTTATCTGAGTGCCTCTGGGCAAGGCAGCTAACACTACATGGCCTTTCTATCATTGGTTTTCTACGTTAAAGTCAAAAACAAAAACAAGGTCCAATAAATCAGTAAAAGCTCAAAATTAACATTCATGTCCAGGATTTGTGAATGGAAACTTCACAGTAAACCTGCATTTAAACATTCCTACAAATTACAATATTCTGATTTATAAACATGTTTTTAGTTTCAACTGATTTTATATTCTGAGGTTGTTTACCAACTTTATTTAACTTTAGTTCTGCCACTGTGAAGACGCCTGATTCACTGTTGCACCGTTACTGTGAGTTTATTTCACGTCTCAACTGTCAATATATTTAACAGACGTTCAGCTCAGTATCTGCTTTATTGCTAAATTAATCTCAATATTTCATTACAATATTCCTGTTTTACTGGATCTTTACTGGATATTCTGTTTTAACATTTCTTATATTTTTTACTTTTAAGGGTTGGACTTTACTTATATCTTTACATGTTTATTTAATAGTTTTGTTCTTATTACAGATTTATTGAAACATTAATTCATCAGATTTTAATGGTTTTTGTTTTGTTTACTGTTTTTTTATTTGCAAGTTGATGTAAAAGAGAAAACAAAAATGTTTTCTGTGAATATTAAAGGCATAGTTTGATTCACTGCATCATCATAAAAACTCACTAG